TACTTATGCACTTTACTTTGTGATAGCCATATTGTTCTTTGTCATATATCTTGCTATCACATAGTTGCTTATCTTGCTTAGCCTAAGTTGTTGGTGCACATAGGTGAGCCTAGTTGTTTTAGGTTTTGTGCTTGACAAATTAACCGCTAGGTTTATTCCGCATTTGTTCAAGCCTAAACTATAATTATTTTAAAGTACCTATTCACCCCCCCCCCTCTAGGCGACATCCTCGATCTTTCAATTGTGTTAAATCTTTTATGGATACTGATGCTTTTCGTGAATTTAGCACTAAATATGGATTTGACTCTGAGATAGTAGCTTCTTTCTGTGAATCATTTGCTACTCATGTTGATCTCACTAAGGAGAAGTAGTTTAAATATCATCCTCCCATTGAAGTAAAAGTAGTAGAACTTATTAAAGTTGAAGAAAATACTATTACTTATAATGTTGATCCTATTGTTCCTACTGCTTATATTGAGAAACCACCTTTCCCTGTTAGAATAAAGGATCATGCTAAAGCTTCAACTGTGGTTCGTAAGAGTAATGCTAGAACACCTACACCCCCTGAGCAGATTAAAGTTGAACTTAGTATTGCTATGGTTAAAGATCTCTTGGTCGATAATATTGATGGGCATGTTATTTACTTCTGTGATGAAGCTGCTAGAATTGCTAGACCTGATATTAAAAATAAACATAGACCTGTTGTTGGCATGCCTGTTGTTTCTGTTAAAATAGGACATCATTGTTATCATGGCTTATGTGATGTGGGTGCTAGTGCGAGTGCAATACCTCATTCCTTATACAAAGAAATCATGCATGATATTGCACCTGCTGAGATAGAAGATATTGATGTTACTATTAAGCTTGCCAATAAAGATACTATTTCACCAATTGGGATTGTTAGAGATGTTGAGTCTTGTGTGGGAAAATTAAATATCCTATTGATTTTCTTGTTCTTGGTTCCCCACAAGATGACTTATGTCCCATTATATTTGGTAGACCCTTCTTGAATACTGTTAATGCTAAGATAGACTGCGAAAATGATATTGTTACTTTGGTTTAGGGGATATGTCTCATGATTTTAATTTTGCTAAATTCCGTAGACAACCCCACGATAAGGAATTACCTAGTAAAGATGAAATTATTGGTCTTGCTTCTATTGCCGGTCCTCCTAATGATCCTTTAGAACAATATTTGATAGACCATGAAAATGATATGTTTATGAATGAAACAAGGGAAATAGATGAAGTATTCTTTAAACAGGGACCTATTTTGAAACACAACTTGCCTGTTGAAATCCTTGGGTATCCTCCTCAACCCAAGGGTGATCCCGTGTTCGAGCTTAAATAATTACCTGATACTTTGAAATATGCTTATCTTGATGAAAAGAAGATATATCCTGTTATTATTAGTTCTAAACTTTCAGAGCATGAAGAAGAAAAATTATTGAAAACTCTGAAGAAGCACTGTGCTGCTATTGGATATACTCTTGATGATCTTAAGGGCATTAGTCCCACTCTATGCCAGCATAAAATAAAATTGGAGAAAGATGTTAAACCAGTTGTTGATCATCAACAACAGTTAAATCCTAAGATGAAAGAAGTGGTAAGAAATGAAATGCTAAAGCTTCTGGAAGCAGGTATAATTTATCCTGTTGTTGATAGTCAGTGGGTAAGTCATGTCCATTGTGTACCTAAGAAGGGAGGTATTACTGTTGTTCCTAATGATAAAGATGAATTGATCCCACAAATAATTGTTACAGGTTATAGAATGGTAATTGATTTCTGCAAATTAAATAAAGCTATTAGAAAAGATCATTACCCTCTACCTTTTATTGATCAAATGCTAGAAAGATTATCTAAACACACACATTTTTGCTTTCTAGATGGTTATTCTGGTTTCTCTCAAATACCTGTGTCAAAAGAGGATCAGGATAAGACCACTTTTACTTGCCCTTTCAGTACCTTTGCTTATAGACGTATGCCTTTTGGTTTATGTAATGCACCTGCTACCTTTCAAAGATGTATGACTGCTATATTCCCTGAATTTTGTGAAAAGATTGTTGAGGTTTTCATGGATGATTTCTCCGTTTATGGAACTTCTTTTGATGATTGCTTAAGCAACTTTGATCGAATTTTGCAGAGATGTGAGGAAACTAACATTGTCTTGAATTGGCAGAAGTGTCACTTTATGGTTAATGAAGGTATTGTCTTGGGGCATAAAATTTCTGAAAGAGGTATTGAAGTTGATAAAGCTAAAGTAGATGCTATTGTAAATATGTCGTGTCCTAAGGACATCAAAGGTATAAGAAGTTTCCTTGGTCATGTCGGTTTTTATAGGAGGTTTATTAAAGACTTCTCTAAAATTTCTAGGCCTCTGACTAATCTCTTACAAAAAGATATTCCTTTTGTCTTTGATGATGATTGTGTAGAAGCATTTGAAATACTTAAGAAAGCCTTGATTTCTGCACCTATTGTTCAGCCACCTGATTGGAATTTACCCTTTAAAATTATGTGTGATGCTAGTGATTATGTTGTAGGTGATATTCTAGGGGAAAGAGTTGATAAGAAATTGAATGTTATCTAATATGCTAGTAAGACTCTAGACAGTGCCCAGAGAAATTATGCTACTACTGAAAAAGAATGTTTAGCAGTTGTGTTCGCTTGTGATAAGTTTAGACTTTATATTGTTGATTCCAATGTAACTGTTCACACTGATCATACTGCTATTAAATATTTTATGGAAAAGAAAGATGCTAAACCTAGACTTATTAGATGGGTTCTCTTGCTACAAGAATTTGATTTGCATATTATTGATAGAAAGGGAGCTAAGAACCCCGTTGCAGACAACTTGTCTAGGTTAGAAAATGTTCTTGATGGCCCACTATCTATTGATGGTAGCTTTCCTGATGAACAATTAGCTGTCATAAATGCTTCTCGTACTGCTCCATGGTGTGCTTATTATACTAATTACATTGTTGCTAAATTTATACCACCTAGTTTCACATACCAACAACAGAAAAAGTTTTTCTATGATTTAAGACATTACTTTTGGGATGACCCACACCTTTATAAAGAAGGAGTAGATGGTTTTATTAGACGTTGTATACCTGAGCATGAACAGGAACAGATCCTATGCAAGTGTCACTCCGAGGCTTACGGAGGACACCACGCTGGAGATAGAACTGCACATAAGATATTGCAATCCGGTTTTTATTGGCCTACTCTTTTCAAAGATGCCCGTAAGTTTGTCTTGTCTTGTGATGAATGCCAAAGAGTTGGTAATATTAGTAGACGTCAAGAAATTTCCATGAACTATTCACTTGTTATTGAACCATTTGATGTCTGAGGCTTTGATTATATGGGACATTTTCCTTCCTCTAATGGGTATACACATATTTTAGTTGTTGTTGATTACGTTACTAAGTGGGTAGAAACTATTCCAACTAATAGTGCTGATCATAACATGTCTATTAAGATGCTTAAAAAAGTTATTTTTCCGAGGTTTGGAGTCCCTAGATACTTAATGACTGATGGTGGTTCACATTTTATTCATGGTGCTTTTCGTAAAATGCTTGCTAAGTATAATGTTAATCATAGAATTGCATCTCCATACCATCCTCAGTTTAGTGGTCAAGTAGAATTGAGTAACGGAGAGATTAAATTGATCTTGCAAAAGATTGTTAATAGATCTAGAAAGAATTGGTCCAAGAAACTTGATGATGCATTATGGGCTTATAGAAATGCATATAAAAATCCTATGGGTATGTCTCCGTATAAAATGGTTTATGGAAAAGCATGTCACTTCTCGAACTAGAACATAAGGCATATTGGACCATTAAAGAACTCAATTATGATTTCAAACTTGCCGGCGAGAAGAGGCTATTTGACATTAGCTCACTTAATGAATGGAGAACCCAGGCCTGTGAGAATGCCAAATTGTTTAAAGAAAAAGTTAAAAGATGGCATGACAAAAGGATACAAAAGCGTGAGTTTAATGTAGGTGATTATGTTTTGCTATACAACTCTCGTTTAAGATTTTTTGCAGGAAAACTTCTCTCTAAATGGGAAGGTCCTTACGTTATCGAGGAGGTCTATCGTTTCGGTGCCATAAAGATCAACAACGCCGAAGGCACAAACCCAAAGGTGGTGAACGGTCAAAGAATCAAACATTATGCTTTAGGTAATCCCATAAATGTTGAATCTAATGCTATTGACACCGTAAACCCGGAGGAGTACATAAGGGACACTTTTCAGAACGTTTCAGACTCCGAAAAGGAATAGGTATGTAGTACGGTAAGTAAACCGACTCCAAAACTGCTCAAATAGCAATTTTTCTCCGTATTGAAATATTTAAAAAAAAATAGGAAAATAAGAAGTAGTCCGAAGGAGACACGAGGCATCCACAAGGGTGGAGGGCGCGCCCTACCCCTCTAGGCGCGCCCCCTGCCTCATGGACACCTCGTGTGCCCTCTGGACTCCGCTTTCTTGCACGATACTTCTTCTGGTCGGTAAAAATTCATTATATAATCTTTCGAAGATTTTGACCACCGTACCACGACAAAATCTTCTGCTTTTGTTTCGAGATGTTTGTCTGACAGATCTAGATCATCATGACGTCTTCCAGCGTCCCAAGGACAAGTTTTTCGAGAAGGTCATCAACCCTTACCTCGCGGAGGTGCTGCAACACCCTCAAACCATTGAGATGCGTGAGGGAGTGCTGCACATCTGCGATGTTGAGGGACCGAGGAGGGCCGAAAGCGTGGAGACAAGACTCAAATCAATGGAGCAACAAGTTTTAGAGAGGGAGAGAGAGATTGGCCCCAAGGTGCCAGGAAGCCTATTTTACCTATTATAATGGTTGATAAGATAGTCTTATCTTAAGTTTTACATGTAACTTAGTGATATTAAAATAAAGAGAAATAAGGCTTTTCTTATGAGTTTTTTTTTTCTACCTTATCGTTTATCCTACGTGGCACTCATAGGATAGCATCATTATACATGGCCTCAAGCACTTTCAGCCCAGACTCTCCGCCAATAGACGGCCCAGAGAGAGCAGAGCAGACAGGCGCGGCCTGCGGGCTGGGGGCGCGGTCCGGGACCTGGCTGCCTCCGCGTGCTCCCCCACCTCTGCTAGACTGCTGCGCCGCCGCTCGCCGGCCCCTCTCGACCCCGGCCCTCAGCTGCGCTACCCGCGATTCTGCGAGCTTGCCATCAACAGGTGATTTCCCCAAGACCCAACCCCAATCCCCATCAAGCACTAGCCTGGTTGTTTTTTCTTCTAACTATCACGGCACTAGTCTAGTCTATCTAGGTGATTTCCCTGATTTGTCAAATTTTCTTTCTTAGGGCTTGCATTGATATATGTTCTTATCAATTCATGTTATAGAAATACTGTTTATTCAAGGTGTAGGTTCTTTCTGTAGGTCATGTAAAGCTCATATCAAACAGTGAAATCAATGATTTGATCTGGTAGTATCTTTTGTATCCCTGCTCTATTATATGTTGTTTTGGTCATGTTTAATCTACTTTGTTGGATCATCAAGTGTTGAAGTTCAAATTTGTGCCATGGAGCCATATTCCTTTAATCTGTTTATGCTTGCCGTGGGGTACTTTTTAGGATAGTTCTAACTTCTAGCTGCTTGATTTTTGGCCTGGGACTTTCTCGAATCCTGGCTCCATGAATCTGCTAGCTATTGTTATGTCGAGTTTCCACCGTCTGAGAATCTGATTATGAGAACGGAACATGATCCATTATAACAGCCCATTGATTCATAGCAGCAAGTTAGCACTTAGCAGTGAGGAATGAGTGGACTTATCTATTAGATCAAATGGCTTTTTTATTTGGAATCGTAAATATTCATTAGCCTTGACTGCATTTGTTTACTAGTCTATTAGATGGAAAAAAAATTGCACACATGAAATCGTGGGTGGTGTTTTTTCTATATCTCTTGCCTAATGTATTATAGGTTTTCAAAACAGAAGAACAAGGGTGGTTCTTTGATTATTTTTTTGAAACTTCAATACCCAAACGGAAAACTGTAGCGGTGTGTACTTGTGTGTACTTTTGACGGTATAGTGGCGAAGATATATCTTTTATTGGCCTGGATCCTTACTGCATTGCTTCTCTTAAAGAGGTGCCGTTGTTTGAATTTTGATCATTATTCATCTTCATGACAATCCAGGTCACGATAAGCAGGGGCGCAAGTGGTTTTACTCAATGGTTCATTTCAAGAACAGGTACATGGTGATGGAGGTCTTTATCGACGCTAGCAGAGGAGAGGCTGATCCTGTCATCCTCACCCAGTTCAACATAACCAAAGTGATCAGAGACAGCATCCAGCTCAACTTTGGGGAATGTGGCCTAGCTGCATCTCTTGGATCATTGCAAGGTGCTAATAATTTCTAAAGCATCTTTAATTCCTCTAGGTTGCATCATAAGTGTTTGGGGTGTGTTTTCCGGTTCTGTTTAGACTTGTAGAAGTACTTCTGATCTCTGGTCATCTTCTGCAGTGAAGTATGTAAATCCTGTGACGAAGCTTTGCGTAATCCGAGTGTCGCGTGAAGATCACCAGAAAGTGTGGGCTGCTATCACAATGGTGAAGAGCATTGGGAAGATCCCAGTATCGTTCAACCTCTTGGATGTGAGTGGTAAGTGGATAATTGATGTCTTTGTTCTTTTCCTTTTAACAATTGGTTTGTTGCACCATGAGTCTATTTAACAATCTGCTTCTTAGTACTTCTGAGTGTAAGGTAAAGTTCAGTTAGCAATCACATGACCTCCTTTCTAGTTTTTGTGCATGCATGTGTTTTTTGAGTTTGTTGAAACTAATTCTCTCACCGAGACCCCGAGACTTGGTTTTGATGTATTCCCTGCACAAGCTTTGGCCTGATGATGTATGTTTTTCCATGTATAGAGCCCAGACTTAGGTTCTGAGTGTTTTGTCTCTGCGCAAACTTTGGCCTGATGATGCTACTCCATGTATAGTTTTGATGCTCATCCTTATATCCTTTGATGTGCTAGTTATTTTACTGCCATGCCTAACAGAAAGAATGTTTTGCAAGGCCGATTGTGGCAGTTCAGAGCTGACCATCAATCTACTCCTATCCAGGAAGTATCAGGGCCTGCAAGAAAGCCGCGCTGGAGTGCGAAGAAGCGAAGTTTGAGCAGTACAAGCTGGCTGCTGGTGACCGTATGACGCAGGAGATCATCGAATCCATGCAGAGTTGCTTTGCCAAACTTAAAGGATTAGACAGTTAGTAAATTAAGTTTGTTCCATGCCAGCAGTCTGGAAAAGAACCAGTAATCTAGACAAACGGCATTGTCGTTGCTCGGTCCAAGGCGCCACAAGAAGCCAGCTTCCATGCCCAAAAAAGGCCCATTCTGGAGGGAGCTTGTGGAAAATGATGTTCTTGTGCAAGAAATGTTGTGTAACTAATCATGATTAAGCCAGCATCTGGTATGTCACAAAAGAATGATGCAGTTTAGCCAATGTTTTCCTGTTTCTTTAAGCTGGTACTACACTTTATCAAGCGTTTTCATGTTTCTTGAATCTGATGTTTACGCTTTGCAACAAGAGCATACGCTACATGATAGTTTCACTGATGAAAAGCAGAAAGTGAATAGTACAATGCCCTCAAAGGAAGCAAAGCGAGAGTAAAATTTTACTAGGTCAATAAATATGGGGCATGAGAAGCAAATCAATCCAGACAGCAAACTTTGACGGACTTGTAGCAAAAGCGAAACAGAGGTTAACCAGCTAGCCTATGTGACACAACCCACATCATTTGCTGAAGTGCAAACTATTTTATCTCTTAGTGCTCTCTGCCACCTAGCTTCAATAAGATTGGGGATACGTAGGCACATCACCCCTGATAAAACACAAAACAAATTGTGCAAGAGGGAATGGATGGAAACAAAATTTGGTTGGCGTTTTCAGTCCCACAAGCCACAACCATGCATACCTATCAATTATCTTACCTGATCAATTCAGTCCCTTCAAATTAATACTCACTCCGCCCCGAATTACTTGTCACAGAAATGGATGTATCTGCATGTATTTTTAGTTCTAGATACATCAATTTCTATCCATTTGTGTGACAAGTAATTTGGGACGGGGGAGTACCAGATAAGAGCAAAACCATGAATCAGAGCAGTTCCACAACGACTGAGCACAAGAAAAGCTCAAGCGACAATCTGGCACATCCTTTTAACCAACTCCCAACATAAATCCGTGTTTACCACAAATACCATCTGTTTCTGTGTAAGCAAGTCGCTTCAAATTCAACTTCAAAATTTATATGACAAAATTGACGAGCAACTTCACACTCAAAGCATTACTTGAATCCCATACATTGATTTTGGATGACGGGAACATTCAACAGAAAGGTCACGAATGTTACATGTATCCTGATTATCAGGGCATGTTACAACTGAGACAGGCAAATAAAGCATCTGCAAAGACAAGCAACCATCACTTTATAAACAGACAACACGGTGCTTTTCCGGCCACAAGGATAATGAGGTGCCAAAAAGAATATCCAAGAACATCCTGACAATTTTTAAACTCACCGAATCACGACAGTGATAACAGGTGTTGCATTTATACATCTTATAACATTGGATTGCATGTAAGCAACAGTACAGTTTGATATAAAAGGTGCATCCTCTTGCAAGTTTGAGGATATGGTAAAACTAGCTTTTCACCTAATGTTTTTGGCACACAGAAGCAATGTTTCCTTGACGACATCAAGCGTAGACAAGGAGGCCCATCAGAAGTTGCCTGCGGATAACACCAGACAGAACCTAATCAGTTTACAAGATTATGAATTTATGATCATGGAAGCTACGCATACTCTATATCAGTACATACCGGAGCAGTGTGATTTAGCTTTCTATTATGGACAATGATTCTTACAACTATACAAAACCTCAGATCAAATAAATACTTCTGGAGATTAGACACAAAACAAAGAGGAGCCTTAGCATTTCTATTTCGTATAAATGAATGTCGTAACTGATCCTCCAATTCGCCTGTTGATTATACTACCCTGCAACAGAATTCTCCCGAGACTGATGATAGATTGGAAACTCCCAAACATCTAATCTCAAAATCTACCGCAACAAATCGATCAACAAGCATCAACGACCCCCAAATCATACCTTATCGAACCGGAGCTCAGTGGTGGTGTCTGTGGCCGTGTTCATGGCCGTGGGAGGAGGAAGAGCAGCCGCCCTTGCCGCCGCTGGAACCCTCGCCGGCGTCCCCATGCGGATTCCGGCGGCCGCCGTCCGCCTCGTCGTCGCTGCAGTCCTCGTCGAAGGGCACCTCCTTGTGGAAGATGCAGCACTTTTTGGAGCTCTTGCGGCCGAGGGACTCGTTGTCGACGGTCCCCTCCTTCCAGGACACCTTCTTCTTCGCCCGCCGCTTCAGCCGCAGGACCACCGTCTCCGGCGGCGGCGGGGCGGCCGCGGGGGCGGAGGAGGAAGGGGAGGGGTCGATCGTCACGGTCACGGATCCGGATGACGAAGACGACGGAGGCGGCCCGCGGGTAGCCATAGCGATCTGCGATTTCCCCTCGTTTCCTTACTCTCTCGCTTGTCTAAACTTTCCCCCCTTTCGTTGCCCTTTGGATTTTTATTTTTCGTTCACGGCTTGCGGTGCCCCGTTGGGAAATTGGAACGATGGAAGTCCGAGCGTAGAGCACACTTTTTTTTCCCTTTTGAGGGCGTAGAGCACATTTGTCTCCCATTTGATTATACTGTACCAGTTCGCCACGTTTCTGTCAGAAAATCCAACTTAAAGCTGCACGAGTATTAACAAAATAATAAGGTTGGAAATTCAATTTGGCTTCCGAGAGCATGTGCTCCCGACCCAAAAGTAATTTTTGAAATGTTAAAAAAAATCAAAACAACATTTTTATATGTTGCTAGTCACATCTAAATGCTACCCGTAAATTTTGAGGCAAAAGGATATAACCTTTAGAACTTTAACATTATTGGTGTTCTCGGCAAGGCCCTTATCTCCTAGTTGCGATCTAAAGCGTCATAGTGAAACCATAGACCCGTAAGCTTATGTACTTTATTCACGTGACTGGGAGAGTTCATGTCCCCTACATTTTTTTATATTCTTCTCGTTAGTCTCGATTCCTCGATTATCCGAGAATCTTACTCGCTTCTACATCGAAGTATTCATGGCCATCTGCCGGGCCTGGTTGGGCTATGGGTCGGGCCTAACAAAGCCCAAATCAGAAAACCTAGGCTAGGGCCTGGTCCAGGGCAGCCATAGGGCCTAATTTTAAGGTCCAAACCCCGGCTCGACAGTGAAAAGGTCAATTGGGCCTTGGATCGAGCCTCTTCCCTAAAATGCAAGAATGGCAAGCCCAGGCTCGGCCCGGTGTGTCCTTCAGGCTCAACACTTAGGCCCGGGCCCAGCCATGTGTGTCCTCTGGGCTCAAAACTTAGCCCCAGGCCCGGCCCGACGTGTCCTTCAGACTCAAAACTTAGGCCCAGGCCCGGCCCGCGGGCAAGACCGGGTCGAATATCCCATGGCCAGGTATACACCGACGACACACTTGATGGGGTTAATCATGATTCAATACTTTTGCCTGTTCTCAAAGGTTTGGACGAGGTCAGGGATAACATGATCCCCTTCACGACCAAGTCATCTATGTATACGTCTATATTATTTTCTTCTACGTGTGGAATGCCCGCTGCATGGCGCGTTGATAGGTGGAACCTACGTTCTTTAGTTCGGATGACATGGTTTTATAAACCCTGACAACATGGTGAGGCTAGACCAAAAATTCAATTTGGTACACGGGCTCATTTACACCTAGTGAACAGTAAAATATAAAGAAATAGCAGAAAAATTCAAACAATTCTAAAAAGAATATGCTGCAAGATGACCAAATGCATGATGTTCGTGCAAAATTTCAGCTTATTTGTATATTCGAGGAGCTCGTGACAAAATCTGGGGTGAATAGTGTTGTTTTCTCGGACACCTGAAATTTGTCTTTTTTGCCACGAGCTATTTAAATGTCCAAACAAGCTGAAATTTTGCACGAACATCACAGTTTTGTGCATCTTGCATCACAAAAAATTCAAAAAAATTGAATTTTTTGCTACTCCCTCCATTTTTATATACAAGACCACAAACTTAAATTACAGATACCAAGATAAAATTTAATATATGTTTTGCAACCAAATTTTTTTCTCGTTTACTGGGATCATTAATACACCGCATACATGTAAGAAAATTGAATGGAGGAATTAGCTAAGGCTGGTCCTAGTGGGGAGTAACATAGTACACTAGTATTATGCATATGATACTAGTGTATGATACTACATCCATAGTGCATAGTATCATAGGTGGTCTCATTTATTATCATATATGACACATAGTAGCATAACATTTATTGTGATACGGTATCTACCTATGTTACTATGATCCTCTCTCTCTTCTTTAATTGCCTGCCACATAAGCATGTTTGCGAGTCCCAACTCCCAAGTACATGATACTACTCCCTCATTTCCGGTTTATAAGACTCAATTCAAAAATCTCATCAATCAAGGTAGATGGTGAGTGGTGGAATACCTTTTGGAGTTTGCAAAAGCACCCAATTAATGCTCTTGTTTTTCTCAAAAAAGTATGTTTACCAATGCATTAATTGCAATGCATGCATGCATAAATTACATGCATTAGTCAATTTTCTCTTAATACTTGCATGCAATGATTTAATGCACCTTAGAATCTGAACATGTGATGGAAAACAACCAAATTGAGCCTTATAAAATGGAAAAACTAAAATTTTGAGATAAACCCTATAAACCGGAAAGGAGGGAGTAGTTATGTTACCCCCACTATGGCTAGCCTAAGTGTCATTATGACTGCATGCATGCAAGTAACAATTTGTTAGTACGAGAAAACATCATTAATTTTTGCCTCGATTACTGTTAGTGGCCTTATGTAGATGCAAAATTTATATTTCATGGTGACCTTGTATAAGTAAATGGAGGGAGTATTATTTTTAATTTTACAAGAATAGGCGCTTCCTAGGCTAGACCCCCTTTATAAGGGAGAGTATCCATCCTCCCTTCAGGCTGATCTTTTGGGAGGAAGAGAGCTCTCCACTTTTGGCTGGGCTTGATGTGCTCAGGAAACAGAGAGCAACTAATTAACGAGCGCTTCTTCGAGAGCCTCGCAACGATCAGCGCCACTTGGCACGCTCTCAGCCATTTGCCACGTGTCGCGCTCTGGGCGCTCCCTCTATTTTTTTTTTGTTTTTTTGCATGCGTTTTCAGCTTTTTTAACGGTTTTTTCCTCGGTTTTTTTCAACGTTTTGGTTTTCCACCGGTCTTCCTTAGCTTTTTGATCAAAAAATCTCCAAAAAAAATTGCGCAAAAGAACGCGTTTTCTTTTTTTTCCTCCCTTTCACGAGTCACGGTTTTGCTTCCGCAAGAGGCACGGTTGTGCTTTCGCGAAAGTCACAGCCATGCCTCATCGGAAACGGGAAAAGAACGCGTTTTCTCTTCTTTTTTTCCCTTCCGCGAGAGTCACAGTTTGCTCCCGCGAGAGGCACAGTTGTGGCCTCTCGCGGGAGCAAAACCATGACTCTTGCGGAAGGAAAAAACCCGTGCTCCCGTTTTTTTTTTAGTTGCTACTCAAGCTCATCTAAAGAAAAAAAAATCCTCTTTTTTGAGTTGCTACTCCAGCTCATCTGAAAAAAAAGTCCTCTCCCAGTACCTCCAAATCCCATGTATGACCAAAGTGTTACTCTAATTCCAGACAGAAATACAATGCACCCATATGACCAGTAAATTCCGAGCAGCTTATATAGCATAGATGGTTCAATAGCATTCGTTGTTTTGAGTTGCTACTCAAGCTCATCTGAAACGCGGCGGGGAACCAACATGTTTAATTGCCACCCTATCAGCAGTTGGGTTGGAGGTTGATGGAGACGCTTTGATTTTGCAATAAATCTTGACAGCACACTATCTTTGCCGTGCCACAGAACATATCCAACACGTGAGCACCAAGATTATGTGCCCACTGACTTTCTGTAGGGCATTACTGTAAGCATCTCGTTCTTACATGGGAGACAATGGCCTGAATTACTGAGGGGTAAAAAGTATGCAGAGGTCATAGAACAAATCAGATTGGCGTTGATCAGCAAGTGTGATCAATCAACCGAATATATCAATAAAAATGTACAGAAATTGCTGCTCTAAACTGAAAGCCCGTCTGGGTTGTGCGCCTCGATGTCGACATGTCTGATTCCAGGCACAATCTTCTGTATCTCTGACTCCAGCCGATCCACTTCATATCCCAGAGCATCCACCACACCCTCACCTGTACAGGCAGCAGTAACGCGTGCCTTGTCAGAACATGATAACAAGCATACAAATTGCGACTAGAGCAACATACTGCATACCATACTCAGCCATAACCCTTCGTAGCTCCGCATCATCCTTACTCAACGAGGCCTCCCGGAACTGTCAAAACGAATCGATAAAAGGTTATAGAGAAATGATATCGATGATCTATTGAGATTGGTGACCAAGAGAGGATGTTTGAAAAAGGAATAGCCAATATTAGCCATCACAGTGCAAAGATGCAACTCGTACTTCAAACCAACTTACTTGGATGAAACTTTAGCTATAAATCCTCCTTTCATCTATACCCTACCTTACTTTTTATGGAGGATTATTGAGATGCTTACATGCTGAGAGTACAATTATACATCAAACGGGAGTTTGCACTTGAAATTTTCCCATCTTACAACATGGACATGTTTTTTGAACTGCTCGAATACAATCATCTCAGAAAGGAATGCATCGAGTGCAACCCCTCCTCTCGTCTAAATGTGTGAATCAGAGATATAAAGATGGGCAGTGCAAAGATGCAGCTCATGCTGCGATACCAAGCAATTTGGATGAAACTTTTCAGTATAAAATTATAAATCCTTTTTTCATCTACACCCTGTATTTTTGGGAGGATTATTGAGACCTATTATGCAAAGTGCACAAAATTGACATTGAATTGAGGGCTTCCAATTGATATTTCCGCAGCTTACAACAAGGACATGCAGTTAATTCAAATTTTTATCACGCCTAGTTAGCATGAGTGAAATATTAATTACACAACTCTCAGTAAAGGTAGATGTTAAGTTAAAGTCGGTGTCTTGAAGAATCCACTAAACATCAATCACTGACTGACTGCTGACACTCTAGCCAAAGCTTGACTATACTAGCGAGAAGAGCAATACAAAGACTACCTAGAATTTCGACAAAGAAATTGAGTGATTGCATCAGTTTAAGATAATAGGCACATAAATTAGCAAATATTCACTAACCTGGCAACAGAGCAATACCAATATACTCATTAAAAAGAGCAAAATAACTACGTTGCTTTAAAGTAGAAAAGACACCTGTTTAGCCCATACTCCACGTCCAGTCCTTTCAAGATAATTTTGCACCAAGACTACTCCATTGAAATCTGTGAGATGATTACGTCAATAAATTGTTAAGACAAGATCAGAAATGTAAGAGGAATTTCAG